AATTAAAATTGAGTATTAATTTTGCATAAATTTTATGTAAAAAGAGTTGCCTCATTATTAGAACTAAGAATATATATTTTACCCCAATTTTTTTGAAGCTTTAGATAATTTTTACTATAAGGAAAATTGACTATCATTAAAATTCTCATTTTAATGTAAATGTAGACTCGAATCGTAAACAAGTGCCAAAACAAATTGATCAAATATGGATTGGTAGTACTGTTGATGTAAGTTCAAAAAAAATTTATGAATCAGTTGAAAGGTAAGATAAATTTGATCATTTTATTTCTAAATATTTTTATTTTATCAATAAAAATATTTTATTAAGATCAACTGCCATACAATTATGTGGATGGGATAGTCTAATTATAAATGATACTGATCATCAACGACATAGTGATAAAATAAAAAGGTATATATATTCTCATTTTCATTTGACATTATTCAATTAATTTTAAGTTCAAGAATTTTTTATTTTTGAAATAATTTATCATGAAAATTATTTATTCTTGATTTTAGTTTATTAGAGATTGGACAATATGGAAAAGCAGCTGCCTTGTATATATTTCAAATGAATTTAGATAAAGCGATACAAGTATTAAATGAAGGTCTTAGTAAAGGTAACAAATTGAATATTTAATGAAATTTTTATTTCATGATTTGTCTATATATATATTTTTTTTTTTTTAACAAAAAATAAGGTGGTAATGAAAATTTGGCAACATTAATTTTGGCTCTTATTGGTTGTGTAACAACGACAAATCATCAAAATACATTTTTTGATTATACAAATATAACAAAAAAATTTGAAGATAGTTATATTCGTGCCATGTTTGCTTTTATACTATCGGATGATGCACAACAAGATCAAAATTATTCAAATGTTCTTGTATGTTAAAATTTCAATATATTTGATGAATGTTTAATAATTTCTTTTACTTCTAAATTTTTTTTAGGATGAACAACTTGATTTAAATGATAAAGTTGGTTTTAGTTGTCGATATTTAAATGATCAATGTTTAGATATTTATTTGGATAAACTTTCAATGGAAAGTAAATCAAAAGGAGATTTACAAGGAATTATTCTAACTGGTACGATTATTTAGTTGTCGATTTGATAGATCAATGATAGAAAGATTTTTTGTGTCTTTTAGGTTTAAGAACGTCTGGTTGTGAATTAATTCAAAAATATCTTGAGAATACAAATGATATAAGAACAGTGGCACTATTGGCTATTCATGTACCAGAGGATATAGTACAAGATTGTCCATATGTTCGAGAATGGCTTGAAGGGTAAACAATTAAATGTTTCAAAAAACCAAAAGAAAAAGAAATATATAATTAAATTTCTTTTTTTTTAGATATAGAAATTTGTTAGATCAGTTACAAATGTGGACAGAACGGTAAGATTATGCATATATTTTTACTTGATACAGAAATATTCAATAATTAATTAAGAGCTGAAGTCGATGTATATCGTAATCAGATGTCACATACACGATCAAATATTAGTGATATGAGAGAGATTGACATCAATTGTATATTTTGTAATTCATTATTGGATCAATCAAGATCAGCAAATAGACGAGAAAGACATAATACATCTCATATTGGATCATCATCAACTGTTGTAAGTAATTGTTTAACTTTTTAATATCCTATAGATAACACAATGATTTTCTAATTTAGCTAATGGTTTGTTCAAAATGTCGTCAATCTTTACCACGTTGTGCTGTTTGTATGATGAATTTATCAAATTATATTGAAGATTCCTCTTGTTCACCCAATTCACAACCAGGTAATAGACCATCTAAAATTTTAGATAGGGCTAGTGGTATGGAAACGAACGAACGATAGATTAAATCATCTTATTAATTTAGTGTAGTCAAATAATTTTCTTGTTTGTAGATAAATATCATTTGTTATCATCTCAATGGTTTACATGGTGTAAAAAATGTAGACATGGTGGTCATGCTGAACATGTAAATAATTGGTTTAAGTATAACAAAGAGTGTCCTGTAGCAAAATGTCTATGTCCATGCACAATTACTGATGGATACTACTGAATAGTCTTTCTTGTTTTCTAGTCTTCTTTTTTTTTTCTTTTTCTATGCAATGTTAAGCTTATTTCGAAAAAAAATCTAAAAACAGTGATAATTTCGTATAAGTGTGTGTTCAAAAATTTTGTGACCTGTTTTCTAAATTTATATACATATTTGTATATCCAAGTTATGTATGAAACCACATGTTTTCTTTGTGGACTATAACTGTTGGAATTTGTGTTTTTTAATATTTTGTACGGAAAATATGTGCTATAATGCCTATCAAAAGTTTTCTGTTCTTAAACAAATTAAGAAACATTCGACATTGAGACAGACAGATATAGAATGTTTGTTTATGTGACGTACCAAAAAAGAAAATTACATACAAGTATACAATAAGAATGTTCATTCAGTCGTTTTTTCATAGTTCAATTGTATTTACGTGATTGAAGACTATGAGTCATTCCCATACTAAAGATGGAAAACTCTCAAGAGTACATCTCTAGATGTTACTCTGCGATTTCAATAAAACATGGCATGAATAGTAAAGTAAATTGTGCTGATCATTTTTATAATATTTTGAGCTGCCACTGTTAGGCGGTTGATCAATTAGGACAATATTTTTGTTTTATAGTCGAAAAATGACTCATTTTCAATTTAACATATTTTCTATAGATGAATTAGTAAAAACTATCAGATATAAAATTTTGCAGAGAAACATTATCGCTACAATTTAATATGTATCTCACCATTTGATCATATTTCCTTGGAAAATTACAAAACTATTTACTATTCATATGTGTTTATCAAATATGACATTCAATTCTAACCCTGGCATCTCACTAAAGAAAAGTAATACTAGGCTTCTGGCAAAAATCACGATAATGATGATTAAAAATATGTTCCAGTGATTGTGACCTTCATAAGTACAGTGGTTTAAGTAGGTTTTCGAGAAATGACAAGGAAAAGGGGTGTCATCGACAGCGGGTACTAAAATTATCCGTACGATAGAAAAATATTTTTTCTATTTTAAATATCTCTGCAACAGAAGGCCATAGCAAGATTACCACCAGTAAGCGACTGGTACTACAGTCCTTTGGGGTCAAACTCAGATTGACAAATCTGACTTTTTCAACCTGGATGAGTAACTTTTAAACCTTCGTTCTAGCCATAAAAGGTGCAAAATCAGGGTTTCCGATTAGGATAGGGAAGTAGGAGACATTCCCACCCTACATTTCGGCACTGTCCGCCAGATTTTTGGAATTTTGTTTTACCTAAAATTTGTCTAACCTCTTATTATTCTTTATTACTCCGCACTGCGAAGTAATAAAAGTTCTTTTCATTTTACAAATGTTTCACTTGTTTAGAAAAATTTGTCCGTCAACTTTTTAAAAAGACTGTCTGTCATGAAAAACCTCTCCACATCCCTCAATAACCATCTTACTCGTCTTCTAATAAATTTTCTCCCATTATGAACCTATGGCTTGTTTAATTAAGCAGCATACCCACAAAAAAGTGCAAAGAATTTTCCATGTTCTGAGTTATAGAAAAAAAACTATGTAACAAGGTCCATACCTAATCGATAATATACAAAAAATATGTACGTTTTGTTTTTGAAACTTTTTATTTTCTAAAGAAAATTAGAATTAAAATCTACTCTTTTATAACAAAAGGTAAACACTATTATTTTACCTATTTCATAGGTTTTGTAGAGCTCGGATTTTTTAAGTTTCAGTAACAGTTTTTGACGGAGTTTACTATTTTGAAAATTTTAAAGAAAACATAATGATTTATTCTAAGCCAAACATATCATTAAAATGAGAATATTGCGAAAAATGTCATCATGCATTTTCTCTGTCTTATTCTTCATATGCGTGTTACTCCACAGCATTTTTTTTTATCTGTTAAAACCTGACTTGCTAATGATTCTTTCGGAGTTGGATGGTTGCTTCTGCATTATCCAACAAAGTCCATAACTTTTTTTCGCTATCGGCGGCGCAAATTTTTCCACTCGCCAACGTGAGTGAAAAATCTCGAAATTGAGAGCTAAATTTGTTTTCTTCACAGAGCTACTATTTTTCCGAAAAAATTATCTCAACCAAAAAATGCTACTTGTCGTTGTTTTGTTTAAGTGCTGAATGCAAAAGTTTCATCATATGAGAAAAGAAAATAGACATTCTGTCAATGAAAGAGAAAGTTAAAAAATCTTCTTTAATCTTTTATCAGTATCGAATAATTGTTACGAACTGAATTTTATCTCCTTCGTCCCAATCCTACTCATCTTACGTCGAATATCAGTCCCATTGTGCTGAACAACTCGAGGCGTTTTCTCGATCCTATCAAACATCAGTTATTACAGTTGGCGGTGGCGGCGAAGCAGCACGACAGCGCACATGTCTGCATATATGACAACCTGCAATTAATCAGGAATGAAACCTAGACTTGACTATATCCAACGGTAAAAAGATGAATTTTGCTAGACTTTTTCCTTATGGAGAAAATGGCAAACACAAAATTTTTCTTATCATTGTGCGAAAACCTACTTGAGCCACTGTACTTATGTAGGCCACACTATGAATCTTTTAGCTGATATCTTAACTCACGAGGACGTCTTAAGTCTCACGTATAGAGTTTCTGAGTGAAGTAACGTTTGGGATACTTTAGGAAAGACTTAGACACCCTTCGCAATTTTCATCTTATTCCTGGTTGATCTAGTCAGTTCTCAGATGTTTTTGATCGAAAAAACTTGCTATTGGGTTGTTTATTAAATAATATTTAAGATTCATCAAAATAATAGAGAAAGACTGTTACTTTTGTTGTCGTATGCTTAAAGAAGATCCTTCTAGGTACTACTAAATCCATCCTGAATTCATATTCACCGTCAAAACGGTAATATCCCAAGAGTCATGCGAAAATAACAGGGCACCTATATTCTAAAACAAACACAAAATGTTCTAAGCTATGAAGTCTTAGACTATATTAGATTATTATATATATTGTCTTAGATTATATTATTATATTAGAGTATATATCTAGTCTAAAAATCTAAACCAACACTTAACACATTAATGATAAACCTAATAAAGTTTCTTAGTAAAGTATTTTTTGGGAGAAAAAATACTGGTTCGTATATTATGAAAATGATGGTATCTTGTTCTTCCTACTCATGTGGGATGCTAACTTTTATAATATTATCTTTATATTTGGAGAAAGTATCGTATAGTGATAGTTGGTACTAGTTTTTAACAGGTTATTAGACTAATATTACTGCCAATCAAACATTTTTACTTCATACATCAACATGTCTAGGAATAATAATTGTATAGACGAAATTGTATCAAATTATTATTAAACTTTCATGGTACGCCAGTAAAAACTATTGCTGAAATGTCTATTTTTATTTGTATTATAAAGAATAGGTATATAAGTAGAGAGACAAAATATTGTCTTTAAATTTATTTGTACAGCAAGCAAAAAAATCTTAGAAAATATAGGCAACTATGGTAAAAAGGTCGAAAGTGGATAAAGCATCTTCACTCCTCTTTTTGAGGACGAGGTAACGAGTTGAGTGGTGCTGTCCAACAGACAATTCCTCCTTGTGAACGTAACATTTCAAGCGTAATTTCTTTAAATTCTGGAGTATAACTAGCAGTTGCATCCTCAACTAAAAGACACTCATATCCTCGGTCATTCGCTTCTCTCAGTGTCGTTTGTACACACCCGTCGGTTGTTACACCGCAAACAATGAGGCGATGTATTTCTTTTTCTTCTAGTAATTTAGCCAAATTTGTATTGTAAAAGGCGCCTTTACCCGGTTTATCAATGACAAATTCAGTCGGCAATGGAGCAACGTCCGCTACGATTGCTTGACCCGGTTCACCACGTACAAGAATTCGTCCTAGTGGACCTGCATCACCGATACTCATTCTTGTTCGTCCACGCTTTCTTTTTGTCATGGGACAATCTGATAAATCGGGTAAATGAGATTCACGTGTATGAATCACCACAAGGCCAATCTCACGTGCCCATTCGAGAAGTAACGCAACCGTTGGTAAAACTTGACGCAAATGACTTGAATCATTGCCTAGTATAGCTGATCCAAAACCTTTTGACTCAATAAATTCTCGTTGCATATCGATTGACAATAACGCCGTATGAATTGGATCAAAAATGAACGTATAAGGTAAAACATCAATCATTACTCTCAAATTTTGTGCTTTTGAATGAGGTTTTGCAGCATCTAATTGAATTTTATTAAGATTCAAAGTAAAATGCCATTGACGTGGTGGAGCTTCACCAAATAATATTGTGATGTCAATATTTAATTGAACTTTTCCGTGATAGGGTTGAGTTTGTAATGTTTTTATGATTTTTTCTTCTCGAATTTCATAATTGTGCTCTGATAAATCTTTTAATAATTCAAATAGTTGTTCCGCTGTTTGAATAAAACCATCTGATAATACTTCACATCGTTTATTTTCTAAATCTAATCGGTACAATTCAGTATTCTCTAATTCAATACGTAACCGATTTAACTCGAGCTCAAGTTTTAGTTTAAAATCAAAGCAAACACCGGCATATTGGCGATTAGCAGCAATTTCACCATTTTTTTCAATGGATGTCATATCGACTGCTCCTAATAGAAATAAATCGAGAAATAAACGTTTCTATGTCATGAAATTTCGTGCACGAAAAACATCGTGAAGTGAGCGCTTACAACGTCTCTATATCAAAACACTTATGACCGTTTTTTGTCACGGTTTTTATGATTTTTCTTTGATTAATACAGATTAATTAGAATAGTTTCAAACTTAAAAACCTATCACATCTTGTCGAGCAAACAATTGTTTACAAACTGGTATACTTGTTCAATTTTTTCCAGTTCGTCTTCATTCTTTTAGACACACTTTTTAGATAGTATTTTAGAATCGCTTTTTTGGGGCTGTTTGTACAACAGCTGTATTTTCATAGGGAATCAACGTTCAGAGCCGTGACACTTTTCATTTTGTAGAGAAATGTTTAATCTACTTCATTATGATTAGTTCTCGTTTCACCGACTCACTCTCACACCGCCTTTCCCCTTGATATTCTTTGAAGTCATATTTTCATTTCGCCGACTTTTCGAAAAAAGTCGGCGAAACGAGAAGACACCTTAATTATCTAGTTGCCATTTTAGATTAGTTTGTAGTTTAATTGCAATAAGTTTTTGAAAAAGAGCAAAAAATGGAGATTGGACAAGCCGTCAATTGAAATTCCATGCGAGAACATATTATATAGGTACGAGCATTTTACAAACTAGCTATATAAATGAACAGAGGAGCCTGAGTTTATATTCAAAATCACTGGACATCTACCAACTTTTCGTCCGTCATATTTCACATCAAGACGAAGAGTTCGTATGATTAGAATATTGTTTTTCATAATCTCTCATAAAATGACTTAGAGATGATTCAAATCAAAAAATCAATTGCTAGAATCTGAAGTTAGCTGTTATTATCTTCACGACTCAATAAGAAATTTTACACAAATTTTAGCAGTCATTTGAAACTGTTTTCATAAGGTTATAGTTTTTACAAAAATAAAATAATTTAAACGAACCATGCAAAAAACAAAAATTTATATTTTCTAGTACTTTTGATACTCTTTATTAACGCTTTTCTGAATATTATGGATAATATTAAAAATCACTTACCTTAATTTACTTAATCAAATAAATGTTTTTTTTTTTTTTAAATGTAGTTTCAATCTAAATGTCAGAAATCAAGTGGCAGTTCTCTTATTTTGCCAGCTTATTGATATGTGCAAAGAATAACAGAAGACAGGCTTCCTTCTATTTGGTTAAAGATGGTGCTATGCCGTTTATAACATTCATATTATTCTTATTCGACAGTTTTGTTGACACATTGTATATCGATGTTGATGATAATGATTATTATCATCATCATTTATTTCAACAGTCTAACTTATAAAAATGCTAGATTATATTCTCGTTATCTAATTTTTCTGTTTTTTTATTATTTATGATCATTCGTTAACGAAATACACTCAAATATACATTAATTTATCTTTATATTATTTATTCAGACATCTTAAACAGATAATAAGAATTAAGATGTCATAACATAATCGTATAGATACTTTTTTCTTTTACAAGGCCAACACTCTTATTTTGCTCATTTTGTTTATACTAAATGATTGTTTTTGTGTATATGTTACAATATAAACTAGAAGTAAAAACCAGTTGGTGCACTTTATCAGATTATTATTTAAAGAAGACAAAAATAAAAAATATGTTCTGATCGAAATTGATAATATGTCTTTAGCTTTTAGGGTATAATTTGATCATATTTCATTATATTAAGAAAGAAATAAAAAAATTCATAAAACAAATGAATCAATCACACATATTTTCTAGGTGATGTAGTTGTTTTTTCTTGTCGCTTCATAGAATAAGACAAATACAAAGCATATATGATGAAATAAATCCAAAGACAGTTTATTTTCTGAAGGTGCACGGAAAATAGATATATAACTGTCACTAATCAAATTATCTGTCACTCCATCTTTTATCTTACTTTCCAGAGATGTCTCATAAAATAATCGATCATTTTTTAGCTCATAAGTTGATGGTATTCGGGTTTTAATGAGAAATACTTTAATAAAAAAACTCATCAAAAATTAAGTCTTGAAATAACTAATAGTTTTTCTTGAAACAACTTTCTTTCAAAAATACCGATTTACTTTGACTAAATCAAAAACATGCACTCACGAGGGAACCTCCCGAGATGTCCACTTCCGATTCAAATGTTTTGTACATGGATCGATAGACCTCAGTGAGGTAGTAAATACCCTAAAAGGATTCGGCGGGCCCATGACTCTTGAAGTCCCGGTTGTCTGGAAAAACCAGTTTTTCAGAAACTCTAAAAAATAACCAAAACCTTTTCTTAATGAGACATGATTGTGGCCTGCAAATTTCTGATTAAAATAAGACATCTCCCAGCTCTACATGACCTTTCTTCGCAAACTTATAGAATTTACAAGAAAAGCCCTAAATGTTTATTGTCAGCTCAAAGCTACAGAAATAAGAAGAAATTAATTTAGGGCTTTTCTTGTA